CATAAGAGTGCCAAAGAACCATCCCCAGAGAAAAGGTGCTCATTAGGAAAGAACACTACCACCACCACCCCCTCCAAGACTTAGCTGCCCCTAGCTGGAAAGATGTAGTAGAAATAAGCATGGCTTTGTTGATTAACACCTGAGGACAGCATGCAAGTTTGTAAGTTCAGTCTACTTTCTTACTCTCCAGAGAAAAAGACACTCATATATGGAGAACCTAGAGAGTAAAATTTGTGCCTACACAGGACAATTCTTTAGCATCCCTTCAGCTTTGACATTCTAATTATTAAGTAACAGCTTAAAGAATAAAACTCCATTTTAAAGATTTTTTTTTTGCTTCCGAATACTTTAGTGACATCTCAACCTTGCGCACTTAGGATGTGAGTGATGGAATTATGTTAAGAGACTACTTAGGTGCTGTCTGCCTTATCTGTGTTAGAAGGCTGTGCTGGTTAGCAATGGAAATTGACACCAGCATGTCCTTTTCCTTTTCAGACAAACTCTTAAGGTCTTTAAGAGCTCGCAGACTTATAAGGCAGACCACTAGCAACAGGGAATATTCTTAGGATAGAGCTTGAGATGCTGTGGAAGGCCCTTTTAAAATTAAGTTGAATAAATGTCATAATACAGGAAAGTATTAGATGGAATTCAGTGACTGGGGAGCTAGTTCTGAAATAAAATGTCCAGACTTACAATTTTTTCCCCAAAAGACTGTCATTCTTACATTCCACTTTTCCGTGCAATACTGAGTTTTCTGAGGAAAGACAGAGTACTCTTTTCCTCAGATGTCACAAGTGGCAAATCCCGTTCATTAGATTATGTGACTAGTAGTAGTGAAAAGACTTGTTGCTTGATTATTTACATTTGTATTGATACCCAGTGTTGTCAATATATGCTATAAATTGTGAAATTAGCCAAATAAAGGGTTCTAATTTCCTGTTGCTCATAGGCCTTGTATTGTGGTAATAGATTCCTAAGAGGTTTATTGATGTAGATGTGTGTGCATGTTTTATTTTATATCCAAGAAATGCACATATGTTAAAAACATGACCCACTATAGTATGGAATGGAATGTACTATAGATCTATCTTGGACCCAATCCAAGAAAGTATAGTTGCCAAAAGTGTCCGAAGAACCTCATTATTATGATGTCACCTTTAATAAGACTCTGTACCATAGAGTTAAAGCAAGGCCCCTCTGTGTGGGTGTCCATTGTATATTCACAAACTATATAATATACGTATGTTTATATATATATATGTGCTTGTATCAAGATAGATTTATACACCAAGGTAGAAGAAAATAAGGAAATCTTAAAAGAAACTTTGTACATGAATTGTAATGGCCAAGTAGGATAAAGTTTGGGGATGAGAAATAGTAACAGTGAAAACTGATAGATACTCTCTTCCACAGACTTTGATATACATTTTATAGATTGAGTTACTCAGAGGGCAGATAGGATGATAATGTTAAATAATCATCTCTTGTTGCTGTCTAGCCATTGGTTTGGTAGCTATTGGATGGACTTATACATTTCAAGTGCATATTTAGAATTGTGAAATATTCCCCTCTTCTATTCACTCTTTCTTAAACCTTTCTCAGCTTTTCCTGTACCTGTACATCATGGATGAAATGTTTGCTTTGGGATCTCTGATGTAAAGTCCTGATATAATTATTATTGATTTATCTAGAATTAACCAAGACCATGGGCAAGCAGTATTTGGCATATCAGATTCTCACTTTAAATATATAATGTTGCCTGCATATGTTACTGCATATGTTATTCAAGTTCAAAAGGTGTAGCAACTAAATACTATATCTAAGATACTGTCATAGGAAGAACACATTTTCCTTGCTTTGAAAATAAAGCATTCATATTGAAAACAAAACAAAACTATACCTTATGTTAAATGTACCCTGTAATTATTAAATTTCACAGTGTCAGAAATTCTTACATCTCATGTATACATGTATCCCATATAGTATTGTTTGTCTGGCAACAGTTTGTGACTGGACTTTGGGCTGTTAGGGGTGTGGATTCAAATCTCAGTCATATATTTTGTGATCTTTTTGATGAGTTAATTGTTCCTTTAAATCAGTCAGGCATTGAGATTAGATAAGAGCATAATTCCCAGAAATCTAGTGTGTGAGACGTGAGGAAATTTGTTTATGATAGAAAGTTATTTGCAAAAGCTACTCATTCTCATCTCTCATTTTTTTCCTTGATGAATAGTAAATATACTGGTATTTATCCAGGATCAGATGTTAGGTACCCTTGCCAAAAAGACTCTTTTCACCTTAGGTAGAAGAGAAAGCATTCAGTAATAAGAAAGGTTTTCCTCTTACTGACTGCCTTACTGTAATACAATTTTGGAGAGTTTTTTTTTAAATGATTCCAGTTCTCTAAGGTGCAGGAGTCTATATTGCTTATACTTTAACAAGTCCTAGAAAACTTAGGATCATAAACTGGAGCTGGAAGGACCTCTGAGGCTGTGTCTTCCAATTCCCTAATTTTATAAGTAATAAAAATTGGAGCTTAAGGATGTTAAGTAAGTTGCTGAAGGTCACATGGGTCCTAAGCCCCAGAGGTGGGATTTGAACCCAGGTTCTCTGACTACAGAGCCAGGGCTCTTTCCACTTTACATAGCTTCCTTCATTCCAAAGTATTAGAATATGTCTTTAATTGGGAGAAGGGAGGAAGGAAGAGAAGGTATTAGGGAGAAGGGCAAGGAGAGACCTCACCAAACCCATCTTTTTAGGAAACCCACAATTTCAAGCTAGTAATGTATAACCTGCTAGATTGGGGGTTGGGGGCAAGGAAAGGGGAGGGAGAAAGGATCAATTGGCTGTATGCAGTAAAGAGTCATTGAAGTGTTTTATCAAACACTAGAGATAAATGCTTTTAGCCAATTTACAATATATGGCCAGGAAAGGTTTATGGAATTCTTTATAGATTGTGAAAGTCATAAAAAGGGACGCCCTCCTTTTTAGGATATGAAGCTTGTCATCTTGGTAATTTATATTTTAATGTTCCCAGATGTTATGCAGGTAAATTTGTGGAAAGTTACCAGTTTGCTGACTGTGTGGAGGGAAAATTATCTGTGACTGTGTAGTTTTCTGTACTCTTGAGATTTTGGTGGAATTGGGCTGAAACTGTGTATGGGGAGAAAGAGAGTATTGATTTGAACATCCTCGGTAATAGGACAAAAGGTAAGGTTTAGAAGGCCTACAAAGGACCTGAGAGAGCTTTAGTTGTTAAGGTATGTGAGCATGCATCGTTGAAACCTTGTACTTGAAGAAAATGAACTCCAGCCTTCCTAGTAGAAGCAAAGGTTTTTGAAATGCCAATGAACAGTGAAGGAAGGATTTATGGAAAACTACAAACTACCTTCGTTTATCATTGTACAGGCAGCTTATGGTTATGTATGGTAATAGGGGACCAAAATAAGTGATATCTACAGATTACCCAGATAACCCTATTTTAGCCATTAATTTCAATTTCTTTCTCTAGTGAGCCTTTTTTTTATTTTCACAAACTGCTAAATCTGGCAAAATTAGCTGATTTTGAGATTCATTGTCCCTCCCTTTCTTTGTCTAGCCTTTGGTAAGGGTGAAGAAAAATTATGGAGTAGCTCAAAAAACAGAAGGAACAGAAAATGGAAAGGAGAAGCAAAGGGCTTGGATAATTCACAGGTCTATGTAATCAGACCCTGATTGATCAAGAAGTGAATGGTGGTCATAACTACCAAAGCCAACGTCAAAAGAGAAACAAAACCACAATTACTTGCGGTTAATTTTGAAGGCGCTTCCATTTTTAAAATTATGCTTTCCTAATATTCTGACATGCCTGGGTTCCTATGTTGAGTTTTTTTGGGCTTTTTTTTCCATCATAATATGGTGGACATGACGTGATGCACACATTTTGCTAAACTATATTATAGTATCTGCTGAGGATAAGTTGTACAGTGGCACCCTTTCATCCTATGCAATCTATGTGAATTCCTCCTTCCATAGATTCGTGCAGGATGTCTTGTTCAGTGTAACACCTAGTGTTTCCTTAATGGTCAAGATGACAAAATATTGTTAGAACCATGATAATGTAATAAAATTGTAATAGAGGAGCCATAGTATACTTTTTAAAATGCTGTCCTAAGGTTCCATGCTACTGGGCTGAATTGTAGATATCTTTTATGAAATGTATATATTTATTGTTTACCTTTAAACTAAGAGCACTATGCTAGGCACTGTTGGAGATACAGAGAAGTATAAAGCATGGCCTCTGTCTTCTAGGAACTTAAAATAACAAGGGCTTTTGGTCACTAGTTATAGGTAAACCACCTTTGGTGGAATTAATGATAGCCACTTTATGCTGAATCTTTCTCTTTGGCAAATAGCAGTATTCTAACCACAAGTAGTAAATTGTCATCTTAACCCTTCAAGTCACAGGATACTAGACATAGAGTTGTAAGAGACATTAGAAATGAACATTCTTTAAAAATCCCATACTACCAGTTTTTAAGTAATGTAAGAGGATTAATATCATTGTATATGGCTTCTAATGTCAAAATAATCATGTCACAGTTTAGTACAGTGGAAAGAGTTGGGATTTGAAGTCATAGAATCTGAGTTGAAATCTAGTCTCTGTCACTCATAATCTTTCTGGGATCTCAGTTTCCTCATCTGTAAAATCAGTATTGGTCAGATGAGTCCTAACACCCTGTCCAGCTCTTAATCTGTGGTCCTGTAGTTATGTGAGTTGTCACTGTAAAGTGTTAAGGGTTTGTACTTGTATTAAACATGTCTAGAATCACATCTATTATTCTTGGGAGTTTTATTACACATGGAATCCATCTGAATTGGTGGTGCCCATGGCAGAGAAGAGGCTGGTGTCTGGGTTGCTGCCTGTGGGCTTGGAAAGCATAAAGGATAGAAGAGGATTAGAATCTTGAAGGCTTCTGTGCTCCGTGTCAAGTGGACTACATTGTTATCTAAGGCTTTGAGTTCATGTTCACCTCCTTCGGTCCAAGGTTTCACAGCTTCCTGCTGTTCACTTCTTCAGAACTGAATTTAAAAGGTTAGAGGGAATGGCAAAGAGGATTCGTTTTTGTATAGTTGATATTTATACATTGTCGTGTGTGTTTTTATGTATCTTTGGCTAACCTTTTATTTATTATGTTTTCGCTTCAGAAGCAGTTATATAATGGTAGCACTAGTCACAATAATAGCCTGTCTTTATGTATAATCCCTTTTAACCAAAGACTTCCCAACTCTGAATAGGTTGGTTGGTACCTACTCAGTTCTAAATGCTACAGTCAGGTTAATGGCTATGACCATCAAGTGTAGCTGTAATGGAGAGGTAGAGAATTAGTGCTTGAAACTGAAGCCTGTGAGTTCCCTTCTTTCTTCAGTTCAGCAAAGTCTGAATCTACTAATCTTTGGGACCAGAACCTTTCACTCCAGAGCCTACAGTTCATCTTGTGTCACCCAAGGAAAATCTCTAACAGTAAAGTGAGACAGGCACCACTAGAATTCAGCTTTTGGGGAAAGTTTTTATTTTTAAGTGAATGGTTTTAATTTTGTGCCTGGGATTTTGTAATGTAATTCTGAGGCATTGGGTACATTTTAGTTTTGATTTTTAATCAAATAAGTACATGTGAAGACAAGAGGAAAGCAGTGCTGTATCTCAGAAGATAAACTTGTATTTGTCATAGGCTCTTTGAATGTAGCAGTGATGACTGATACTGTTGCTTCTGTAGAACCCAAATAGAGACCCCTTATGATACCTTAGCAGCAAATAGAACTCTGACACAATCATCTGTCATCACAGGAGGTTGATTGTTGCAGAGCCAAATTGGAGTGTGTTAGATGCTTCCCCAAAGCAGTAATGTGTCATGGAAATTTAGGTGGGGAAAGAGAACAAACCCAGTCTGATGACACTGACCACAGCCAATCAATAATAGTAATGATAATAATAATAAATAATAGCTAGCATTTATATAGCACTTTGAGGTTTGCAAAGCACTTTACATATGTTATCTCATTTGATCCTCACAACGATATAAAATAAATGTTGTTCTTATACCCATTTCATAGATGAGAAAACTGAGGCTAAGAAGAGGTTAGGTGATTTGCCTAGGGCCGGTACTTCCTGACTCCAAAGCTGGCATTCTATCCATTATACCACCTATCAGCCAATCAATCAACAAGCTGTTTTTAAGTGCCTATTATGGACCAAGCACTGTGTTATTGCTAGAAATTTGTGTACAAGAGTGAGATAGTCCCTGCCTTCAAGAAGCTTATTTTCTACTGGGAGAATACAAAATGTCAGCAGATAGGTGACTATATAGGACAGGCCTGCACAACATACGGCCCACAGGCCACTTGCAGCTTGTCAAAGGATTTCAGGCAGTCCTCGAAAAATGTGGAGGATGTAAAAGAAAGTAAAGATGTAACAAATGCTTTGTCTGTGTCCCCACTTAACCCACCTTCCACTAGTCACTATTGTGCCTGTCATTGTAACTTGGCGAACGGGTTGCCACAGCACACTTGATCCTGTTTGTCATGTGACCCACTTCAACCAACCATCATTAGTCTGTCTCTGGTGTTAGAGGAGCTAGAGTCTTATCTTTTCCCTGTTTCCAGTTGTTACTGGCATTGAACAGGGACAAAATGAGTGCAGCACAACCCAATGCAGCTAGCACCCACAATGCAATGAATGAGCTGCAACAGTTCGAGGGCTTCTTCCCTCCCTCACTGCAGCTGCCCTCAAAGTTGCATGAGTGTCTGGCACTCTCTCCAAGGTCAGAGACTCAGTTCGGTATTTCTTTGTATGTGATCAGTGGCTGTGAAGATTTTTTGGTTCTAGCATTAAAGTTTTTGGGGTGACTTTGTAAAATGGGTACTGAAAAGAAATGGAAGATCGAATCAGAACATAGTGTTTAATCCAGAGTGGACAAATAGATACTTGTTTACTTGCATGAGAGACAAAATATCATGCCTTGTTTGTCCAGAAGTAATAGCTGTTCAAAGGAATACAATCTTCGTTGCCATTTCAAATCAAAACATCTTGACTTAAGCAAATTGGACACCAATGAAAAACAAATTAAAGCATCCAAATTGTTGAAAAATCTCAGTGGGGAACAATGGTTTTTCAAGAAGTAAACTCAGAAAGTGAGGCATCTACTAAGGTTAGTTTTCAGATTTCTAAAGAAACCAATTTCAAGCATGATTCCAGAGTACAATAAACTGATTGCTAACAAGAAGTGTAATATATCCCATTAACTAAATGTAAGTAGTAAGAAAACCTGAAAAATGTATTAAAACTTGTACCACTTAGCAAAGTAATTTTTAAAATATTAATGTAATTTCATGATAAATAAAAACAGTAATGTGTAATTAATTGATATTAATTGACATTTCCCTTTTTTGTATGGTTTATTTGCAAAATAGTTTATTCATTATTTATACCTATACTTGGAAAGTGAGCTACTGAAAACCTATCTGTAGCCCAAAGAAGCTTAGCCTTTTTTTTCTTTTTTGTATATGGCTTTACATATACATATAGCCTTTATTTTAATTTTGGCCCCTACCTATTGCCAAGTTGTGCGGGTCTGATATAGGATATATGCAAAATTTTAAAAAGTGATAATTTGGGGTTGGGGCTTGAGGTAGAGGAATGAGGGGAAAGTCTCTTGGAGAAGGAGAAGGGACTTGAATTGAGCCTTGAACTGAGTTTGGGGTTCCAAGAGCTGGAGTTGAAGAGGGAAAGTATTCTTGGCATGGGGGACAAGCTGTAAAAAGGCATGGAGATAGGAAATGGAATGTTATGTACATGGAATAGCAAGTTTGGCTGGAGAGTGTAATATGAAGTCAGCCTGGGAAGATGGGCCAGATTGTGAATGCTAAGTAGAGGAGTTTATATTTGATCCTGGGGCAATAGGAAGTGGCTAATGCTTCTGTAAGAGTGGGGAGGGCTGGGCAGGGATATATGTGTTAGTATCTGTGTGTTAGTAATATGAATTGAACTTTTTGAAGGCTGCAATAAAGAAGAAGAGACAGAGTGAGTCACTTAGGGGCTTTTGCCTTGGTCCAGCTGAGAGGATGGGAGGGCCTCAACTAGCATTGTGGTGTAAATGAAGAGAAAGGGTAATAAGCAAGAAATAATGAGGAGGTCAACTAAACAAAAGTTGACAACTTATTGACTACAGAGGGAGAGAGGCTGGTGTGGGAAAGAGAGTGAAGACTCAAGCAGAGCTCTACAGATGTGGGTAACTGGAAGAATGGCACCTAACATGGTTCCTGGCACATAGTAGACACTTAATGTTTATTAACTGACTGATTGGTACCCTTGACATAAATCTGAAAGTTAGAAGCTGAAGTAGTTTTAGAGAGAAAGATAATGAATTTGGATTAGCCAAGTGTTAGATGTTTCATTAATCTGGATTGGGAAATGAAATGATTGTGTTCCCAGCTTGGTTTCAGTAGACTTAGGGTAGGTGCAAAGTTCTAGGAAATTGAATCCTTGCTGTGTGCTACCCAAAGTTGCAAAGCCAAAGAACAAGATATCTTAAGTACCACAGGCTATAAAGCTGGAAAAGCTTTAGTAAATGAGATTTAGTAATTGAGAAGAGTGAGGCCCAGAGTACTTTAGTGATTTGCTGAAGGTTATATAGGTAGTAAGTAGGAGAGCCAAGATCTGAACCCAGGTCTTCTGGCTCCAGATGTGATGCTCTTTCCTCTTTACTGTGTTGCAGGCAATTTCATTGCTTTAGGAGAATGTCCCTTAGCTAGAGGGAGCATTCTCTATTTTTTTAAAAATGATAATCATTATTATAGAAACACTGTTTTGTAGTGGATAGAGTGCTAGACTGGAGTTGGGAAAAAACTATGTTAAAAACCTGCCTCAGATAATAATTCCTAGCCATGTGACTGTGGACAAGTCATTGAAGGCCTCTGAGCAGCCCCCAGCTCTTGAAGACTTATCTGTTAAGTATGAATCTATTGTATGGATATGAATAAGTTGTAAGTGGTTTACAATCTATATTGCATAGATCCTTAAAGTATGAGGTCAAGGACTGTTTCATTTTTACTTTTACATTCCCAGTGCCTAGCACAGTGCCTGACACATAATAGGTGCTTATAAATGCTTGTTGATCGATCAATTCAGTAACAGATTCAGACAACACTTTGAAGTTTACACACTACTTCACTCGCAAGAACTGTAAAGTAGGCATTTGTGACCCCCATTTTACAGATGAGGAAATTAAGTCTCAGAGAGGTTAAGTGACTTGTTCTGGTCACCCAGTTAACCAGAATTGGCATACAAATACAGGTATCCTTCTTTCAAACCCAGCCTTCTTCTCACTTATGCTGATAAAGTCTTTTGTCTCTCATAGATCTGTGGCTCTTTGTGTTTACCAGGACTTAAAAAGGGAAGAACTCAGAATCTGTCTCCAGGCTGTTAGTTTTCTAGAGAGTTTCTATTGAGAATGCCACCAACAGCAGGCCACAGAAACTGTGAGTAATTCTTAGTAGGTTGTTGAGAATACTTGAATTAATTGTATCTGGTATAAAATCCTGTGACACACTCCTTATGTGGTCTCTTCATCTAGATGGTCAGCTGGCACACCTCCTTATTCCCTACATTAAGTTCTCCCCTGCATCTACCAAGTCACCTGGACTACATACAGTCTAAGAAAAGCATTCTGAAAATTGAGTAGAGGCTTTGGTGGACCGAGTCAGTTCTGTGCTTCAATCTGCCACAAATAAGGAGGTAGTACAGGGGGTTTTGAGGTGAGACAGGACAATTGGATAGCCTCTGCAAATACATTATCCCCAGTTTGTGTTCCCATCATGCCTTGGGGGTAAGCACACCAATTGAGGTATAGTCGTGAGACTAGCAAAAGGTATGAAGTCTTTTTTCCTCAGTAGTACAGTTAGAGTTGTGAGATCAAGAGCTTCGTTTCTGCCTAGAATTACCCAACAGAATTTTCCAGCAGTAATGAAGAGTAAAGCCCTTCGGGTTGACTGCCTTTCCCCTTGAGAAATTCCTTCAAGATCCACATGCAACATTGTTTTTAGGAAATGTAGTCATGTTTGAATGGCCTTTTTCTTTCACTATTTCTTGCCTGTCTCCATCACAAAGGAGACCTGTTCTGAGGGGATACAGCACTAGAACATTCATGATGGGCAGGGGATCTTTGAGGTTTTAGCTATGATTCCCCAATACTTTCACTGAGGGTGTTAATTTCAGAGTCTTTAAAGGCAGGGGACTGGCCTGAATGAAATCTTTGGTGCAGATTCAAACCTTTCCTTTTTTGAAGGAAGGTGTTAGAAAAGATGGTTGCCAAGCAACTCCAGGGGCATCTATCTACAGTGATTTTTTTTCCCTTTTCCTTCTCTTTTTTTTTTCCTTTTTAACATTTTTTGGGCTGCTTTTCACTGGGATTTCGGTTTGGCACTGGGATTGTAAGGGTTTGCATTGAGGGGTGGTGTCCTTTAAGGGATGGAATAGAGATGGCTTTTCAATATGGATCACATTAGGACCATCCTTTCCATAGGTTCTGAAATACTTGCTAAGGGGGTTTGAAAGTCTTTGTTGTCTCTAGTCAAAGGTATACCTGGTGGAGTCTGTCTCAAGGGTTGAGTGAATGGACAGCATTCCTTAGACTGGTCTGGATTGAGAAAAGACCTAAATTGCTGTATGAGAACTATATAATCTGGTCATTTTCAATTTCAGTGATTCCAGACCTCATCTAACTGATTAATTTGGGCTCTTGTGCATTTCATAAATAATCAGCCTTTAGGTCACAGATGAATTGGTGATGCCTTTCTCAGGGAAAGATGTTGGTGGAAAAAATAGGAGAGTCTGGTTCCTACTTGCTTGTTCCTCAATCAGGGGACTTTGGAGTCTGAGGTTTCAAGAACCATTGGGCACACTGATGGGACCTAGCATCCAATGAATACTTTGCCTGTCAATCCAACTCTCTCTTAACACTGGACCAAGACATAAAAAATTGTAAACTAAAGCATAGCTTAGAGAAATAAAACTCTTCTTTCTCTGCAAAAGTAACAGGAGTTAGGGCAGCTAGGTGGCACAGTGGATAGAGCACCAGCCCTGGATTCAGGAGGACCTGAGTTCAAATGCGGCCTCAGACACATAACACTTACTAGCTGTGTGACCCTGGGCAAGTCACTTAACCTCATTGCCTGGCCCCCCTCCCAAAAAAAAAAAGTAATAGGAGTAGAGTCAAGGGGGATGATGAGGTGGGTATGCTAGAATGCATGGGGTAGTAGGTCATCTCATTGTGGCACAAGGGAAGGAGTTCATGATTGGATGACAAAGGAATGGTTTTGGAATCCTAACTCTGCCTGTTACTATGTATATTGGGCGTGTCCCTTATTCTCTCTGGCCCTGGGTTTCCTCATTTGTAAAATGAGGTTTTTGGCCTAGATGACCTCCGAGGTCCCTTCCAGTTCTTAAGTTTGTGATCCCATCTAATCAGTTGCTAGATTATCTACATTTCTTGCTTCTCTTGCCTTGTGCAACCCTTCTTACCACTTTCAGTTTCAGAAACAGGCCAGGAGCAGGAAAGAGATATGAAATTAAAATTAGTTCTGCTACTTTTTTTTTCAGCTCTGACAAAAGGCTTGGTGATGGAAGAGAATTAAAAATATAGGTGTACCTTGATTTAAATAAGCTCAATACATGAAAATCCAGATTTATATAAAGGATAAGTGAAAGGAATGATTACATGTTTTACATAAGGATTTTAAATGGGATTTCTCTAAATCATAAGCTGCATTAGCATTTTTTGAAATGTGATTGAATTTGCCCAGTATATATATTTTTTACATACAGTTTTTTAATTCTCCTTTGCTGACTCCTCCTGTGATGTTTCTTCCCCTCAAGGGGTTACTCCCTAAGACCTAGTCCTTTGACCTTCTGCTTTTTTGGTTTCCTTTTTCTCAGTAAACTAATTTTGTTTCAGTTTCCTATTTCCAACTGCCTGTGATACATAGACTCATAGCTTTAGGGTTGGCAGGGGCCTTAGAGGACATCTGACTGAACCCTCTGTCGACAAAGAAGGTGAGGCCCAGAGAGCTTAAGTTACTTTCCTAAGGTTACACAGAAGAGCTGAGTTTTCTACCCAGATCCTCTGACTCAAATCTAGTCTTCTGTCCACTAAACTGCCTCCTCTCTCTGCTTATATGTCTCACTGACCCTTGGAAGTCAGTATATCTAAAGCTGAACTCATTGCCTCTCTTCTATTTCCCCTCAGCCCCATACAAATACATACAAATACATTTCCACTCTCAACTTCCCTAGTTCCTTCATTGCTGCCCCAAGTTAGAGAGGTGGTATATGTATCCTGGAGGGAAAGAGGTCCCAGTGTTCAAGTACCAACTCTCACAGAAACTATATGAACCTGGGCAAATCACCTAACATCTCCAGGCCAGGGGTACTTGGTACTTCATATCTGACAGGGTTTTTGTAGATAAATAACTTTATGTAAATGTGGGAAGGATGATTATCTGAAACCTTAGAGTCTTTCCACATTTTCTTTATCCCCTTATGCAGTCATTCACTAAGTCCTATTTATTCTTTCTTTTAAATGACTTGTGTGCTCCTTTCTCCCTTCCTCTTTCCATGCTATCTTGATAATCCAGGTCCTTATCTTACATCTGTATCATCTTCCAAACTATGTTCCTTGCCTCCTATCTCTCCCTTATATAGTCAGCTACATATACAATTTCAAAATGAATCTCCCTAAAACACCAAATTTATCATGTCACTCTTGGACTCAAAAATCTTTAATGACACCCTGTTGACTAACAGTAATAGCTGACATTTATATCATGCTTTAAAGTTTGCAGAGTGCTTTTGCATATAATTAAACCTCACAACAGCCTGGTGAGGTGGGTATAGATATTATTGTTCCCATTTGACAGATGAAGAAACTGAAGGGTCACCAGCTAAAGGGGGTCACCAGCTAATATCAGAAGCAGGAATCAAACCCAGGTTTCTCATGACTACAGGTCCAGTACCCTTTCCACTATCCCGTATTGTGCCTAAAAACTAGTCTAAACTCCTCATTCTAGCTTCTTGCCCCTTCTATAATCAACCCCAATCTCTTAATTTCTTGGACCTATTTCCCCAAATGGAAAATGAGGGGGGTAGATTCCATGATCTCTAAGGTCCCATCTAGCTCTGTAACTACCATATTCCTTAGTAAGAATTCTGTGATATAACTAGGCCGGTCTCATTGCTTCCTGAAAGAGCCATGCTTATTTCTATCTCCAAGCTTCTGCTCATGCTGTGTCCCCTGACTAGAATACCTTTTCCTGTTCATCTATTCTATACTTTTCCAAATCCTGTTTATTGTTATGGCCTAAGATCAAGTTCCATCTCTTCTAAAAAGCCTTCTCAGCCTTCAATTGATCAATAAGCATTTATTAAACACCTACTCTATGCCAGCCATTATACCAGGAGCTGGGAATACAAAGACCAGAACAAAATAATATCTGTCCTCAGGGAGCTTACTGTCTGTGTGGGAAACATCATGTTTACATATAAGTAAATACAAAATAATGTATATAAATAAAGCAAATGCAAGCCAATTTCAAAGGCTGTAGAGGAGGAAGTAACAACTGGGCCTTTTCTGAAAAAGGCCTCTTATTTACAGAGACCGAAGCTGGAAAGTTAATTCCAGCCTCTACTGGTTTCCCCATTCTGATCTAACAATTTATTTATGTTACTCATTTGGGCACTCAATCATATACTGTCTTGAACTCTGTTTCACTTGTATCTATCTTGTCTCTTCAACTTGACCACAAGTCTTTGGTGGAGAGAGACCATACTTAACACCCTGCATTCACCTCAGCACTGAGCATAGGGCCAGAGCCCAACTAGTATATAAAGCAAGGCACAACCTGTATTAACAGAAATGCAATCTGGGGATTACCTGTGGACTTTGTTAATTTATCCTGTATATTTGAGATAACTCAAATAATGAGTGCTGGCATATTTTCTAATGCTATTAAGCAGTCATCTATAATACCTGAAACTAAGAGCAAATCAGCATGACAGCTTGGGGCACAGCAGTTCGGCCATCACTGAAACATTGGTAATAATAATAACCATATTTACATAGCATTTCACAGAGTACCTACTTCACAACAACCCTGTTTGCTGGGTAATAGAGTTATTATTCTCTCCATTTTACAATCAAGGAAACAGAGGCTAAAAGAGATTAAGCAACTCACCTGTGGACACATGGCTAGTCTCAAATTCAGTGTTTTTGCCACTGCCCTGCTAAATCTCATCAAGTACCTTCTCTGTGAGCATTGGTACTTACCTGGCATGTCACTAAGAAATCATCTGTCCCTCTGATGACATGCAATAGAATTGGTCAACCAGTGTTAAGAACATTGGACCTGAAGGCAGTCCCTGTGAGATTGCCTTCAATTTATCCTGTATAGATCTTGTTTATTCATAGTTGTTTGCATGTTTTATC